TTTCTCAGATCAGATTAATCCACTTACTTGGATCCATTTAACACACTTCATTAGATTTTTTTTTATCATTACATCAAAGTCAACTTATATCCACCCCCTTTATGTATGCCCCTTTTACATGTTGTAATAACAATATAGTTCTCAAGAGTTATAAGTGTCATCTTTCCTTGTAGGGATGTAGAGAGTTTGTCCTTATTAGTAACATGTTGTTACTTTCTGTCTCATTTACCTTTTTATGTCTTTCTTGAGTCTTGTATTTAAAGATCAAATTTTCTGTTGAGCTCTGGTCTTTTTATCAGGAAGGTATGGAAGTCCCCCATTTTGTTGAAAATTCAACTCCTCCCCTGAAAGACATGCTCATTTTCACTGGGTAGCTGATCCTTGGTTTTAATCCAAGCTCCTTTGCCTTACAGAATATCATATTCCATGCCCTACAGTCTTTTAATATAGAAGCTGCAAGATCCTGTGTAATCCTGACTGTGGTTCCACGATGTTTAAATTGTTTCTTTCTGGCTACTTGCAGTATATTCTCTTTGATCTGGTAATTTTAGAATTTGGCTACTATATGCCTTGGCATTTTCAATTTGGGATCTCTTTCAGGAGGTGATTGGTAGATTCTTTCTATGACTCTTTTACCCTCTGGTTCTAGGACCTCAGGGCAGTTTTCCTTTATGATTGCCTGAAAGATACTGTCCAGGCTCTTTTTTTCGTTGTGACTTTTAAGTAGTCCAATAATTTTTAAATTGTCTCTCCTGGATCGATTTTCCAGATCAGTTGTTTTACCAATGAGATATTTTACATTTTCATGTATTTTTTTCATTCTTTTGTTTTTGTTTGACTAATTCTTGCTCTCTCATGGAGTTATTAGCTTCCATTTGCTCAATTCTGATTTTTAATGAATTGTTTTCTTCTATTAGATTTTGTACCTCCTTCTTCATTTAGCCAATTGTATTTTTTAGGGATTTGTTCTCTACAGTTAATTTTTGTCCTTCCTTTTCCAAGCTATTGACTCTTTCTTGCATACCTCTCATTTTTTCTTCTACCTCTCTCATTTGACTTTTAAAATCCTTCTTGAGCTCCTCTAAGAAGACTTTTTGGGCTTCAGAGCACTTCATATTCCCTTTTGAGGTTCCAGATGTGGCTTTGTTGACAATGTTGTCCTCTTCAGAATTTTGCCTTGATCTTTACTCTTCCCATAATAAGAATCTATGTATATTTCTTTTTGCTCATGGTGTTTGCTTATTTCCTGGCCTTTAAAGAGATTGGGCTCTCTTGCTGGGGAGCTGAGGGCACTGACCTAAGCTTCTTGTATTGGGAGCCTAGGGCCTGGTCGATGGCTGTGTGTGCTGGGTCCTCCAGTGTTGGCAGTTGGAGTCTGTAGGATTATGGCAGCTTACCTGGTGTTGGGCTGGAAACAACAATACTGGAACTCTAGGGTTAGGATTGGGAAGTGTGGGTCCTGGAGATTTCCTTCTCACCCAGGCCTTTCCTTCCTTTTGCTTTCTTCAGCTCTTTTCAGATGAGTGCTATAGGGTGTTTATTTGCCTGGGTCCCCTTGGAGCACTGCTTACCTTAGTTTCACTGAGGCACTGTGAGAGGTTGTTGTAGAATGCTGAGGCACTTGGTGGTTTTCTGAGCTGGTTTCCACTGGTTCTCCTGCTCTCAATGAGGAACTTGGGGTCCAGGTGTTGCTCTACCACCTGGGCTTCAGTATCTCCTCCTGGTATGCTGATGTGGGTCTTTCCACTAGCTTGCTGGGATGCCTCCCATTCTGTACTGCTCCCATTCCCCCAGGGAAAGATGAGCCTTTCCAATTAATCCCTCAAGCTACCTGGGATACTGGACTGCTGCACACCATCTTTCTTCTGGTTCAGCTGTTCCAGGGTTTTTCCTGGGGTGATATTTTCTGGGCTTTCAGGGGTTAATAAGGGAGAGTTGTTTTCCTAACCTATTTCTTGACTTTTAATTCTATGTTAAAGTGGAGCTTTGCTCACATGGTGTAGAAGTTACTGTCCCAAGTTTCAGATTTTTCATGCTGCTATTTTCAGAGCTAGTTCTGGAGGTCTGTGAATTTTCAATTCTTTGCAGGTGATATGATCTAATGAGATGTATTATTACTGGTCGCCTTGCCTGTGTTCTGATTTGTGATCAACCACCAGGATTACTCTCTACCTTGGAATTGTGGCCAAGGCCCTTACTCCCCTGGGAATACAAATGGTAGTACACCAGTGTTCCTCTTTTCCCCAGGTCTGTGATCTGAAACTCCATTTGGACAATGTGACAGAGTTCTATACCCAGTACCAGCAAAAGGTCCCCTGTAATCTTCTTTCAATCAATTATTTGACCCCCTTACAATCTATGCGCTCCTGCCTACAGTGAAAGCTGCTGCTGTCGCTGACACAGCTGCCTACAAGGCCTACTTCAGGCTTGCTAGGGTGGCCCATGTTGTATCACGCTACAGGCCTGTCCACCACCCCAGTGAGAGAGACCTTTTTTGCTGACATAAGTTGCCTTAGTCTGGAAATTTTTTTTCAACCAGATTTTTTGTTAGTTCTGCCACTCCACAATTTGATTTGAAGAATATTTAAAAGTTGTTAGGAGGAGAATTTGGGAGAGTTCAAGTGAATTTCTGCTTTTATTCCACCATCTTGGCTCTGGTTCTCTTCAGCTGCTTCTAAGCAAAGAAAGGCAACTTTTGGGGTAGAGCATATTAGGGGCCACTGAGACCACTCTCTGGAGATTTCTTCTTCTTTATCTTAATGTTGTGTCTATGAAGACCATGATAGGATCTCCTATAATTTTATAATGGGGCAATTTTCAGTTGGTTAGCCATCATTCTATGGCAGCCTGTTGTGGCTAATGGTTATCTTCCACAGTTGAAATTACAAAAGAACTTAAGTCATAAATCTATTCATTTATGTCCTGTGCCAAGAACTTTAACTGGTACTTGATCTTTGCATATCTTTATATAAGGACCATTCACTTCAATAGTCTGAGGTTTGTGGTTATTTTTTGTTGTTTTTCAGTCATGTTAGTCATGTCTTCTTGACCATATTTGGGATTTTCTTAGTAAAGATACTGGAAGGAGTTGCCATTTCCTCCTCCAGCTCATTTTACAGATGAGCAAACTAAGGCAAACAGGCTTAAGTGCCTTTCCTAGGGTCATACAACTAGTAAGTGTCTTAGGCCAGATTTGAACTCAGGAAGACAAGTCTTTCTGACTTCAGGCCCAGAGCACCTTATCCCCTGCACCACCTAGCTGCCTGCTTTAGTATGGGTTGCAATATGCAGAATTTCTGCTTCCTTATAAACTAATATAATGTGAAGAAGAAGGATATAAAGGGCAGTTATTGTAGTTGATAGAATTCTATACTTGGAGTTAGGAATATTGAGTTCATTTCCTGCCTCAGGCAGTTACTAGCTTTGAACAGGTTACTAAAACTCAGCCTTACTTTTCTCATCTATAAGATGGGGATAATAATAGCATCTACTTCTCAGGCTTGTTCTGAGGATCAAATGAGATATCCTATTCAAAGAGTTTTACAAAACATAAAGGCTGTCATTCTTTTTTTTTTTTATAAGTACTGAATTCATCCTCCCTGTGAAGTTCTCTTACTACATCCCTTTGCCAAAACAAATCTTGCAATAATCAGAAAATTGATCTCCTGACTCATGGGCTCTGCTGCCAAGTTGTTTTGAAGCAAATCATAAATTTTTAGGACAGTGCCTTTGGCAATTAGAAAATAGGAGGTGTTGAGTTAGACAAAAATGAAAGTAATATGCTGTATCAGAATTGAGGAATATATAGGTAGCAATAAAAATATCTCACAGAAATGAATCTTAAAAATCAAAGTGAAACAAGCAAGCTAGACACTCATTCTACATTCTTTCACATAGAAGGAAAGAAATTTCTTTTTCTTTTGAATATTATCAGTGCTCTTTGAAAGCTTATTTTTCTATTTGACATTCCATAAGCAGTTAGCTAGCAACAAGTAGGACTAGAACTACTATAAATTCAAAACTTATGATTAAACATCAGCTAGACTCATGACTTCTGCTTATTTTTTCTTCTTGGGGGCAGTGCAGTGTTGTGGAAATGACAGTGAGTTTAGCATCAGGAGACCTGATTTTGAATTTTCTTTCTGCTCCTTGCTCCTTAACAATAGGCAACTCACTAAAACTATTTAATACTTCCTTTCCTTATGTACAAAATGGGAGGATGATAATGCCTGTAGAACTTATGTCACATCACAGTCATGAGCTTCAAATGGGATAATGTATTTAAAATACTTTTTCAAAATTAAAGTACCCTATAAACAAAGCATTATTACTAGTTAGTCATTGGCAATTTTGTTGTGTTTCTTCTATGATTATTTTAAAGTCTCTTTTAAGACAATAGGAAGCATCTTAAGATTGAGGCACAAGAAATTTGACAGGGCTAATTCTGCAATCATTCTCATAAATCTGGTTTATGAAGCATACTTAGTTTAGAGAATTACTATTCTTAAAAACAGCAATTTTGTTTACACATATAGTAGAAAAAGAAAAGTGATAGATTATTGGGTGATGCATTTAAAGAAGCTTTATAGCCTATTAAATATAGAAAAGAGACCATGTAACATTATTATTTTTCAATCTGTTAAACCCTGAATTTTGTAATCCTGCACAGTCAATATAGGACGCAATGTGGTATAGTAAAAATAATATTGGACTTGCAGTCAGGAAGACATAGGTTCAAGTCCTATCTTAGACACTTATTAATTGTCTGATCCTGGGCAAGTCACTTCCTCTTTTTCAGGTTCAGTTTCCTCACACATTAAATGTGTTTAAAATAAGACCAACTTTACACATTGTTGTAAAAATTGATTAACATAATTTATGCAAAATGCCTTGTAAGTATTTAAGGGCTATGTAACTATTAGCCATTACTACAGACGATGCTTATTTTATGCATGTATAGCTTTTAATGCAATCAGCAATTCAATTTATATCATATACAGGTTTACATATGAAATATCCCCTGTATTTACTGTCATGGAAATGATGCTTCTGAAGAAAATGCATAAAATGATTGGATGGGGAGAAACAGAAGCTGATGGGATATTTTCTCATGGTAAGCAGAATTTTTAATGGCCAGATTAAATCATATGTAATGGGGCATAAAAAAGAATGACGATTCTTTTCAAGAGTGAAATTTAGGCATAGCTTTCTTTTAGTTTTGATGATGCTTGTCAAATTTCAATTTATTTCACTTGGCTGTTTTCTCTCCCCACTATTTTCTCTTTTCTTTACTCTGGAAAAAATAAGAAAAAGATAATTAAGCTGTATTGATTATAATATATTGATTGATTTTTACTAATTTTTATCTTCTTATTTAAAAACAATAAATCATCACCAAAAGAATGGCTGTCAAGGAACATAGAAAGGGGAAGATGTAGATGAAATTCTAGGCAATGGAAAACTATGAGGTATAAGAAAATTTTTTTAAAAAAGAATAAAGTGAATGCTTAGGTTCTAAATAATTCCAAGTCTCTAGATTTTTGGATGATTACATTCCACAATAACAACCCTAAATCTATGATACTTCTTAAAATCCTATGAACTTTGACTTGAGATTTTTGAACCTCTGTTAATCACTTCAGATATTGTTGTGAGTAGCTGTGAAACTGGAAATGGAAAAATGCCTTAATTTTAAAGGAAAATGTAAAGAACAGATTTTGAAAATTACCCTGCAGTAAAATTTTCATTAATCTCCTGAAATATTCTATAATTGATTACTACACTAATGACTTATGTGCACTTTAGGAAGTAATGATCATTAGGAATTAGTATGAGTCAAATTAAAATAAGTTATGCCAGGTTAACTTAATTTCTTATTTTTATTATAATTTCTAGACTGGTAGGCCTGGACACTGCTATAAACTCGGAGTAATTTAATTTTAGAAAAGATCATGGACTAGACACTGATAAAGCTTATGAATCAGCTTTTGGGTGCCTTCTGTATTTTAACTTTACTCTTTGGCATCAAGACTTCATTTGACCTACCTAGGTTTGACAGTGTTGGACTAAAAGATTGCTAATGATCTTTCCAGTTATAATAATCTGCCATTCTATAATTTTGCAAAGTCTGTAATGATATTTTCATGTATGTATACTCAACGATAGCTTCAGATCAAGTGTTTTATGAAGGGGACTCCTATTCAGCTACCAATCAGAAGAGATGGACTCAGACCTTTTCCAATGAATTAAATGATTCCATGAAAGTAGATAGCATTAAAATATTTTTTTTTTGCATATCCCCCACAGGGATGTACTTATATTTAATTTTTTTTTGCTTTACTCAAGAAAGAGGACTTCAAAAAAGTAACTTACGGTATTAAACTTTTCTCTTAAAACTATATAAGATAATATTTTCAAAATAGTATCAATGACTATAGATGACTTTAATTTCAGTTAGGTGGATTTCACAATTTAACATTATTTTCTTTCTCCATTCTAATTTATTAAAAATTGGATTATTAGTGTCCCCTTTCTCTCTTTTCCATAAGGGGGAGCATATCAAATCTATATAGCATATTGGTAGCTGGTTACAAAAAATTTCCACAGAGTAAAACCAAAGGCATGGCTGTACTTCCACAAATTGTATTATTTGTTTCTGAACATGTAAGTAAAGTTTTTAAATGAATAAATAGTCCTAAAATGTATAACTTAAAAATAACAAGAAACATTGATAAGACCCTGAAAAGACAGAAGGGCTACTTCATGTATCAAACAGATTCACAATTCTCTGGGGAAAAGTGTATATGTGGCCATACCATAAAGTGCTATGTGTGTGAGAATGTCAGTTTGTAGTCATTTATAACTGAGAAGATAGATGATATAAATAATTCTGTATGGAAAATATTCATTGTAGCAGGTTAAAAATAAAGAAGAAAATGGAAAGGACATAATATGCCCTTTATCTAAAAATAAAAAAACAGAGACCTGTAGCATGTTTAAAGCAAGCACATTCTGTCTTTTCTTTTTTTTAATGAAATAAGCAACTGTGAGGTCAATAATAGTGAAAGTGTCTCAGTTTCTGATTTAGGGACAAAGATGTTACTGGGAAAGAAAAACTTTGATTGAAGAGCTAGTCTGTAACAAGATGTTGTATTCCAAAAATTCTATTGCAGTTTTAAAAAAAAAATAAAGGTATACTATGACTTGTAGGATGTGTGGATATGTTTACACACAGATATGTTATGAAACGATATAATATGATATGATATGACATTACTAACTTCATTCTTGTTCAGTCATTTCATTCATGTCTGACTCTTTGTGACCTCATTTCGGGTTTTCTTTGCAAAGATACTGGAACAGTTTGCCATTTCTTTCTCCAGCCCATTTTACAGAGGAAAAAACTGAGATAAACAGGATTAAATGATTTACCCAGAGTCACACAGCTAGTGTCTGAGGCCAGGTTTAAACTCAGGAAGAAGAGTCTTTCTAACTCCAAGCCCAGTACTTTATCCACTATACCACACAGCTTCCCAACATGATTAACATAAAATTTTACATATATTATATTTAGATTTACTAATATAAAATTTTGTATTATATATATAATTACCACTGATATATATTTCAGCCTTAAGGCCCCGAATAAATATATAACATTACTTTCACTTTCTACTTTTGTTTTCTTTCTTTCATTCTTTTTTTTTAAATAAGCAAAATCTTCTAATTGGCCTGATTTTCCTCTCCTTCTCTCCTGCCACATCATTTAAAATCAAGTGCCCTTCTATTGCTAGCTTTAAAGTTCAACTTAAAGAAATTGTGTTTCTTTTGGGAGACTCAGTTTGTGGAATGGTTGGCGTTTCCTAATACTGGAGAACTCTTTCTAATGGACTACAGTTTGTTAATTCAAATGGACATTTTACCATTGTACTTTAATTGATACATGTTATCATGAATGAAATGAAACTGTTGTTTCATTTATTTTCTCCAAATGGTTAATATTCTGTTACTCTTCCATCTAGATGCAATTTTAACACCATAAAAATGTTAAATTAATGAGAATTCTATTATGTTATTGAGTATATATCTCTTGCTCTTCAATCACTCTACAGGAACAATTTTATTTCATTCTTTCTCTTTCTAGCATGGGAAGAAAAGAGGTCTCCAACATTTGGGAAATACTGTGTTGGTGTAATAAAGCCTGTGCTGACAATTAAAATAGAATTTAGGCTAGTAGATTTTCAATCACACCTGTCACTACCATCTTGGTGACATTCATAAGATAGGACAGCATGTGCTAGTGGACAAAATGCAGACTGAGGGTTTGGAGATCTGTGTTCCAGTTTTGACTCTGCTCCTATTTATTTTACCTTAAATGAGTCACTTATTCTCATTGTTTTGTATAACACGAGGAGAAATTGGGAAAGATGTTAGGAAGGACCTGAGTTTTGTGGCATGGCCATATCAGAGGTGAACAAGCACAAGAGAACATAAGACATGACTGCCATCTTACCCTCAGAGCCAGTGGTGAAGATATGAAAAAGAAGGTCTCTGATGTAAATACAGAAGAATATCCATAATCCTAGAAAAATAACTATGTAGGTAATAAATATATTTTATTATAATAAATATATTATACATAAATATAATAGCTAGAAACACGTATTATCAATCCATGGTGCTTATGCATAAGTGTGTGTGCATACACACACATATACATAAAGCTGAGAGTGTATTTCTTTTTCTTCTTTTATTCAAACCTATGAGATCATCAGTATAGGGTGGAGAGCTGCCTCCACTGCTGAAGATCTACAATTACTCCAAAACTAACAGTGTTAAAGATTTGTCTGGAGGACAAACTAGGTAAGTGGATTTTCTGGGGTGACATAGCCAATACGTATCATAGGCAAGACCTAAACACAGATCTTCATGACTTCAACACACTACTCTAATCATGACACCATTTTCTCTCTCTTTATCTCAATCTCTCTGTGTCTGTGTGTGTCTCTCTCTCCTCCTCACATAGTTCTTTAGCAGTGTCGAGCAGTATACAGAACACTAAAAAAAAGTATAAGACACCATTCTTTTTTCTAAGAGAAACAAATGTGTAGATCCTTTCCTGACTCTGTCTCTCTATCCACTAAGCTATGCTACATCTTATATATCAATATAGCTATATCTTTTTTGTTTGTTTTTCAAGAGTCATTATTCCATAAGGAAAACAGCAGCAGTACTTGGCATTGGAACTGATAATGTGATTGAGGTAAAAGAGATGAAAGGTAAGATTTAACTCTTCTCTTATAAATCTGTAATTAACCTGACTTCTGAGATTCTGTTATGTTTTGATTTCACATAGGTTTCTTAGGAAGACATCTAGTTCAAACCAGCTTAGGCTTCCTATCTATGTCTTTCTCCATTGTTTCCAAAGATACATGTTACCCTATCCTTAAGAGAAATCTTTCCTACCATTCATCCTAACTATTGTCCTATATCTCACCTCCCTTTCTCAACTGAACTACTTGAAAAGGCTCCTATACTCACTGCCTCTACTTCTTTTTGCTCCTCAATTCTTTGAAAACTGCTTTCTGACCTCATTACTAAACTGAAAATGCTCTCTCCAAAGTTTCCAATGGTATCTTCACTGTCAAATCTGACAGTTTTAGGGGGCATCTACATGGCATAATGGATAGAGCACTGACCCTAAAGTCAGGAGGACCTGAGTTCAAATCTGGCCTTAGCCCAAATACTTGACACTTACTAGCTATGTGACCCTGGGCAAGTCACTTAATCCCAATTGCCTAAAAATAAAAACAAAACAAAATTTTAAAAACAAATCTGACAGTCATTCCTTTGTCCTAATCCCTCTTGGTGTATCTGCTACATTTGAGACTATCGAATACCCTCTCTTCCTGGACAGTCTCTTTCCTTTGGGATTTTCTTTATACTATTGACTTGCCTCCTGCCTGTCTTACTACATCTTCTCAGTCACATTTACAGGTTCATAATCCATTTCACATCTTCTAATGTTGTGTGTTTGCCAAGGTTATGACCCAGGTGCTCTACTCTACCTCCTCTTCCACCCCTTCTTCCTCCTCCTCATTCCTCCTCTTCCTCCTCTTTCTCCATCACCTCCTCTTCCTCCTCCTACTACTCCTTTTCTTCTTCTTCTTCTTCTTCTTCTTCTTCTTCTTCTTCTTCTTCTTCTTCTTCTTCTTCTTCTTCTTCTTGTCTTCATCTTTGTCTTCTCTCTCATTTTCTCATCAAATTTCATAACTTTAAGTATCACCTCTATGTAGATGTTCTTTACATTTAGCTTGACTGCCCTGAGCTTCAGTCCCAGTTGCCCTTCCTATTGGATGTCCTGAGGATATCTAAACTAGTCTAAAATTGAACTTATTTTATTTCCATCTAAACACTTTCATTCAGCATTCATGTCCATCACATACAATGTTGCCAAAGTTAATTTCCATAAATAGAGGTCTGATCATTTGATTCCCATACTCATCCAACTCTGGTGGTTTTCTATTGCCTCTCAAATGAAATGTAACTCCTCTAGTTAGTTTTTAAGGCCATATGTAACCTGCTCCAACCTATATGTCCAGTATCATTGGAAATTACTTCCTGTTCTCTATTCTATAATCCAGCTAGACTGGCCTTGTCTCTATTCCTCACACAGGATTCTCCATCTGCCATCTTCTTGTCATTGTGCTGGTTGTTCCTCTTTCTCAGAATGCACTTCTTCTTTATCTCTACTTCATACAGTCTCTTTTTTTTTCTGCTCAAACTCCATCTTTTGCATGAAGTTTACTATGATATCCCAAATTTCTCACATCTCCTTTCCAAACTACCTTGTTCTTAACTAATGTGAATGTTTCTATTTATTGCCTTTATATATAAGTTGTATATATTTTATAGGTACTTGCTATTTGTACTATTAAGATCTTTGACAGCAGGGATTGTTTCAGTCTTTGTACTAGTATATCCTCTGTCTGTTATAGCGCCTGACATATAGTTATACCGATTGTTTCAATTAGACTCAGTCAAAAATAGAATTAATTAATTAATTAACTTTAGGTTGGGTGCAATGGATTAAATACTAGACTATAATATTGCATTGCACAAAATGATTGCTGTGAGGGAAGAATTGTGGTTTAAGGAGAAGAAACAGTTGGATAGAGTCAAGATGCCTGTATTCAGGTACCAGCTTTGCCACTGACAAATACTGTGACCTTGGGCAACTCATTTCCTCAATTTTCCCATAAGTAAAATGGGAATAAAATGGTATGCTCTACTTACCCAATTTCTGGGATTGTTATGGGAATAATATAAATATAAAAGACTCTGTAACCTTAAAGCACTATATGGCTATGAAATAATAGTGTTGATTTTAAATATATTTATAAGTGCATTATCATGATTACCTTTGAATAGCTATTAAGTACAGGGCACTGTGATAGGTTCAATGGGAGATGTAAAATAGCTATATTGTTGTATCTTTAAGAAGAGTAACACTTTGTTGAGGAAATAAGCCTTAAACATTTCAAAGTCAATAATATAAGAGGTAAATAAGTTTAATACAACAAATATGGAATGGTTTGTCCTCCAAATTGTGGAGAACCCCCAGGCTCATGGTCAAGAATACATTTCTTTAATTTGACACAGAATTATTAACATGCCAAAATATACTGTTTTCTCTTGTTTTGTATTCTTTATTTACAAGTTCATTACACTTGCATACCCCATGTGAATAATTGTGAGATTAACTGTACAATGACAGCCATGTAAATGAAAAAGAAAGAAATCTCACTGTGGCCTTGTGTCTTCTAAAAACTATCAGAGGAGGAAGGCATTGAGCCTCTCTGCCTTTCCAAATCACTCAAGTCCCCAAGGAGATTGAACATATAAAGTCATAGTGCTTGCTGTTAAATATATATATACACACACAACCACATATATATATATTATATATGTATATATATATATATATATGTATTATATATGTATATATATATATGTATATATATATACATATATAGGCTTATAAAGGTTTTATCAAATGATATATATATGTGTGTGTGTGTGTGTGTGTGTGTGTGTATACTTCAATTAAAAGAAAATCTGTTCACAGTACCATTAAAATTATTAGTGCAATTTTAATTTTCTAGATTTCAGATAACACATCCTTCCTGCAAAATTGGTACTCACAGAAGTTGGTAACTGGTGTGACTTGATATTGAGCCACAGGTAGCTGGTGAATTGTTCTCAGAAAGCAAGTTTATTTACCTCTCTGCATTATATTGAAGTGTCATAGGCATATTCAGAGCTCTGGGCTATTTTAAGAAATAGTGAGCTTGAAGGATGAGCAATTTGATTGATCTTGTGTTTAAAAAGTATGATCTTGTATATCCAAGTAGGCTACTGTCAAAGAGAAAACAACAACATAGTGACTTGATATACTAATAGTTCCACCTGTATAGAAGTTTACATTTTCTTCAGGAACAAGTGACAAAATTACTGCAAAAAAAAAGGATATCAGAGAAAACTGATCCTCACTTTTCTCAAAGCATTGTATATTATGGAGCTATAGATTTGTGACATTGGATAGGTCATTTGCTCTCTCTTGGCCTCAGTTTCCTCAACTATAAAATAAAGAAATTTGAATAGAAGTCCTTTGAGATCCCGTTCAGCTCAAGATCTATTTTCCTATAATCACAGTCTGGAAAATTGTGTTGCTCACACTTTCAGAGGATTGCAAAATTGAATTTGCTTGCCCTATTTTCCTTTGCCTTCATTTTTGTGGTAATTCTGGGATATCTGAATGGGTAAAGCAGCAGTATGGCATTATGGGTAGTTTACAAGACTTGGAGTCAGGAAGACTTTGGGTTTAAATCCTGCCTCACATACTTGCTAACTGAGTGACTATGAACAAGTCACTGAAGGCTCCCTGGCGTCTCAGATTTTTATATATAAAAGAGGCTAATGATTATGCCAACACCATAAGATTGTCCTGAGGATGAAATGAGATAATTTATGTAAAGTACTTTATAAACATCAAAGCTCTATTTTAATGAAAGATGTTAGATGATTATGAAAGAATAGCAATTCCACTAAATAAGAAATGCTAAATATTTCCAAATATGTACATGTGTAATGCAGTTGATTAAAAAGCCCAGTTGATAATCAGAAAGACAATTTTGAGCACCCACTGTGCATAGGTCAATTTGCTAGATAATTAAGATATTTCTCCTAAAGTTGATGTCCTTTGGAAAATGCCATACCAAGAACCTGACCTTAAAAACTTACATTAATTCTTTATCTTTTATATGTTACTCAAAATGAATAGCTAACAAAGTGTGTCTTTCCCAACAATCTACATTTTTAAGGGGGAAGATGATTCCACTAGAATTAGAGGAAAATATACTATGAGCCAAGAAAATGGTATGTTTTAAAATGTCTCAGCATGGAATATTAAGTGATAAAAAAATGGCATTTTCTACACTGTATAATTGAAAAAGAAATATAGAAGAAATAAAACTGTCCCCAAAAGACCATCCCAAAGAGAGCTACACAAGCTCTACTACTATAAGATGTTATGGGTAGCTTCTTCACTGGCTTTACTTCTGGCAAAAGTCAGAAAGAGAATTAACAAATCATTAGCCTATCCACTTTCCTCTGTTCATATGGTAGGTATTATTTTCTTTCATACCAATGGAATGCAATAGAAAAGAAAAACTTGACACCTTGAGGGACACAAAGTAATTATATGGAAATTTTGAGGAATTAAAGAACTGTGTGGAAAGGATTGTCAATTAAGTTAATGTTTAACCTCATAAGCTGTAAGAATCTTGCTTCCTCACACATGCGCCAGTGACCTTCTGTTCTTGACAGGGACTTACTCCCTTCTGTGTCAGTGCCATAGCAGGTACAACAGTGTATGGCGCCTTTGATCCTCTGAAAAACATTGCTGATGTTTGTGAGCGGCACAGCCTCTGGATGCACATGGATGTAAGGCATATAGTTGTGTCTGACTTACACATTTGCTTGAAAAAAACTGAATATACATTTGCTTGAAAAAAACTGAATATAAGAAAGAATCGTCAATGATTCTTTGTGTGCCCTGAAGGCAAGGCAGACAATTTGCTTCAAATCTCATTTACTTAGATGAATGCATGTGTGCATGGTGTTAAATTGGCCTACATTGCACAAAAAAACAGAAGAAAGTGCAATTTTGAAAAATGCTTTTAAAATGATAATGTAGAGAGCTGCCATTTTATTGATTGGTAGATGTCATGTTAGAATCTTCCTCTTTGTTTTCTAAGTCCAAATCCAAAGTGTTCATAATATCGTTCATTTGTCTGCTTGGTTGACCATCTAATTAATAATATCAAGAAGTAGCTTACACTCCTTTAACTCAAAATAATATAGTAATCGAAAGTCATTTAAGAGAATCTAAACACTTGGAAACTAGCAATTGAGAAAGCTGTACTTAGGAATGTTCCTCCAGTCTTTCAATGATAGTCTTGCCCAAATAAAAATTAGTGGAGTGGAATTTGGGTTATTGAGTATTATTGCCAAATTTCATGCCAAATTAATTATTTCATCTATCTCTGTTCATTGTCCTCAAGAGTTCTTCTTTCATTAATTGAAAAATAAGGACTTTAATTGGCCATGCAATAGGAGTATACCCAGAGAGCTATAGTAGGAATTAGGGTTATGTTTTCAAAAAGAGGGATTATTCTAATCCAGGTTAGAATTTATATACTAGAGAGAGCAAATGAATAAGACATAAATGAAAGATTTAAAAAAAATAATGAGAATTATTATTTGAGAATTATTATTATTAATTAGAATTGATATTTTTTCCATGTTTGTTTTAGGCAGCATGGGGAGGTGGATTATTGATGTCCAAAAAGCATTCTTATAAGCTTCATGGCATTGAAAGGTGAATAGACCGACTCTATTACATTATTTTGGGAAAAGATTTTGACCATAAAAGAGAAGTAGGTATTAATAAAAGAAAAAAAATAGTTTTTATTATATGTAAGACATGGTACTAAGCCCTGGATAAATAATAAAAGGCAAAAATGTAGGGGAGATGATACAACATTTACATGTATGATCATATACAAATTACATACAAAGTTGACCGAAATTAATCAGGGGGAGGGGAAGAACTTAGCACCTGGGTCAATTGGTGGGAAAAGCTCCTTGAAGGAGATGGTGTTTGAACTGGGTCTATCAGGAAGATAGGGATTTTAAGAGATGACAATGAAGAAGGACAATGTTCCGGCTATGGTGGATAGCCAGTGCAAATGCATGGAAATGGAAGATAATGCATAATATGTGATAATTAGCAAGTGAGCCACCATCATCATCACTATCATTATCATCAACAAGAAATTATTAATCAGTTACTATGTGTCAGACATTGTAGTAAGTGATGGTAATACAAAGAAAAAACAAAAAATTGAACCTGCCTTCAAAAATCTTACATTCTGTTGGATTAAAATAGTGTAGACATACATAGGTATATAAAAGATATATGCAGATATAAGGTAATTTTAGATCAGAAGATATTAGCAACTGGGGTCATGGGGTGAGCAAGGCCTCCTACAGAAGCTAGTACCTGAGCTGAGTCTTGAAATAAACCAGAGTTTCTAAGAGGCAGTAATGAAAAGGGGCAATATTCCAGGCATGAGAAATAACTAATAGAAAGGCTTAGAGATAGGAAATGTAGCATCATATGCTAGGTATGGCTAGACCATATAGTACATGGAGGGGAGAAAAGTGAAAGAAGACTGAAATGGTAGGAAAGTGTCAGGTTATCAAAAACTGCAAATGCCTAACAGGGGTAATAGGGAGCTACTGGAGCTTACTAAGTAAGGGGAATGAGGTGTGTGTGTGAGACATGGTCATATCTGTACTTTAGAAATGTGCCAATATTATTTTCTGACTTAATGTCAGTTCTATCTAATTCACAACTTATTTGTCACCTAGGGCCAACTCTGTGACCTGGAATCCACACAAACTGATGGGAGTCCCTCTTCAGTGTTCTGTTGTCCTGATCCGAGAAAAGGTAAGTTACATATATTCCTACATCATGAACTTCTTTACATCATAGTACAAGGCTCCCAATGTGTAGTAAATGTCCTGGTTATAAAAGTATAGAATCTTTGGGTACCTTGTTTTGATTATCTACAACAAAATAAAAGGTGCAAAGTTAGTTCCTTGTGAGTGAATGGTTCCCATACCTGAATTCAGCTTAGTTGCCAGCCAATGAAAAGTAGTGCCATCTCATTAGAGGTAGATGTTATTTCAGGCATGGATTATTGACAGTGCTAGACATATAAACAATCTGCTCATTAATGCTACCAAGAATTATGCTTATCTGCATTGGTAAAGGAATTTCAGAACTCACAGATTTTTATAAATGTCAATGAAATGACTGGGCTTGTCTTAATCCCTATCAAATGAATAATTATTTATATTTCTATCTGATGATAAGAGGTTACATATCTTTTGGGATGCTTTCTTCATTCTTCTACTTTTTAGTTCTCTCTTTCCTAACATATGAAAATGAAATGGATAGAGCAATTTTATTTCTCCTAAACCATTACTCTTTTGCTTCTCAAAGAAGTTAAGAGAGTTTCTCTTAAGGCAATAATTCTGACAATCATGAACAAAGAGAACATTTGCTCAATAAGTGTTTAAGAGGAGTGAGAAGAGACTCTTGGAAGTAAGACATAGGTACCCATAGGTGGAGTGCTTGGGTTTCTCAAGCTAATTGAATGTGTTGTAGATTTTTGCTAGCATTTAATCTCTGAAATCATCAAGAGGCTTGGGAAATCCTTATGGTTCTATTGCTCAATTCTTTTAGTTCTCAAAGTGTCAACAATTGCAGTATTGCTTTAAGGTCATATATGAAAAATATATATACATTGATAATATATATTATGTATTGATAACATGTGATATGTAATAATAAAAGTAAAGTGCTTTGCAAATCTTAAGGTACTATATGCATATTAGCTATTATTCTACTTCTAATATCATTGTAGACCTTAGTTAAGGAGAAAGTATCTATCTGGATTATCTCAGTTTGGATGACATATAACTGGCTTACCGTCACTAGGTAGAGAGTTTATAATATTTTCTAGTCATATTTTGAGCTATTTGAGTCATATTAAAGCACTAATATATGCACTTTGTTCTTTTGAATTTGAAGATAAATTTGTCAATGATCCTTTTCATTTTAAATCTAGAAAATGGTGGAAAAGACATTAAGGAAAACAATTACATTTAACATTGTGCATTTTATTAGTATCTTTTAAATGGTTTTAGATAATCATCAGACCATAGGTTATAATTCATGCATTTAATACTAAATTTGTTTGTCAGTTGGGGGGGGGACATGATTAATAAGCTATTCAACACTAAAGGAATAAAGCTTATTAGGCTGAGCATGAGAGCAAACATTTATCTTATGTCAAATAGTGAATTGAAGATATGGGTATGGGGGAGGGTAGATAAAGGGAAGGAAGTGAGTCTTCATTTCTCATGCATCCTTCCCAAAGTAGTGTTCTTCTGAATTCTTTCCTGTCTCACAACTTAAGAGTACAAAGAAATAGTTGACACTGGAAGTGGTGGTTCATACTAGAGAATGTGGTGTTCTTTTTACATGCTTTATTGTCTTTTGTGTGGTGATAAAGACAAGTGGAGGGATCTTGGAGTAAAAGCCTCCCTACTCTGTTGATGGGTGAACGTGCAATATTCTAGTATTGAATAACATTTTCCTGAACCAGCTTGAGCTGACTCATTCATTGACCTTTTAATGTAGAGAGGAATGCATTTGGTTATCTTTTAGATGGGAAGATTAAATTTGATTTGAATCCTGGGCAAGAACGAAATAGAGAACCACAAGTGGAGGAGCCTTAGGTCTTATTGACCTTGTCTATGTGTATCAGTTTATATGATTGGTGTTTATACTGTGATTCATCATTGTTTCCTAAAATCACAGGATGAAATACTGTACCTGTCATTAAGTATATTCAAAATATAATTTTCTGTATTCTAAGCCTAATTTTAAAGGGACAACCATTTTCTTGTGCTTTTAAAATTGAGGTGGCTGATTTTTTAAATCATGAGTGAAGTATTGTCCCAGTGAAAACATCTGCTAAAGGCTTCCAGTTTCATCTAAGTATTTCACATTTTTCTAAATGAATGAGATTGCTTTGGATTCCAAAATCAAAATTATTCAAATTATATGTTTACTATTACTATGTAAGTATGCACTATAAATGACATTAGGGAAAGGGATCAGGAATAAGACTGGATCTGTGATTTCATTGGGTGTAGAGTACCTCCTGGTGAACAAATTCTATACCAGTACAAGTTGTCACCTCTACTATATCTAATAGTCTTAAAAAGTTGACTAGACCTGTGAGGTTAAGTGATTTGCCCAGGGTCCTACAGATATTAGGGATAACAACAAAGGACTTTATGATCGGAAAAGTTAGGGGGTCTTTTCAGTTATCAAGAGTAAGTAACAACACATAGACAGTTCAAGTGCTGCCTAAGTACCTATGAAAAGGTAAAAGATCTAGAGAAAACTTCCAGCATGTTGGTTTTGTCCTCTTTGGAGGATTTTCAGAGAATTACATCACCCACCTGTGCCTTTGCTTTAGATGACACTCCCTCAATTTCTTGAAAGTGCCTCTGCATCTTAAAGTGACTTGAAGTACATCTCAGATACTACCTTCTACAAAGAGTTTCTCCAATTACTGTAGTTATTAATGGTCACTGCTTTATAAAATTTTTATGCATATGCAGTTGACTTTTGTCATTTGCAGTAATTATATGCTATTAAGTCACCATGGACTCTGAATTAATGAATCCTGAACCACTAATCCTAGTGGAAATGCTCCATTAGGTTCATGCAAGCCTCTGGTCACAATATTTACTTTATGCAGATCAGCAAATTTCCTCTCCCTTTTTCTGGATGTATGGCATTGTTCCTTCATTAACAATGAATTGAGGGCCAAGAGCACTATAATTCATGTCAGAATGAAACTTATCTAACAACAGTTATCTAATTTAACTAATTTCTCCATAAAGCATACCAAAGCCTTCTTGTATTTAGGAACACTAGATAGAACTTCAGTACTACATTTGGAGGATATTTTAAACATCAAAATCACAAAAAAAAGCAGAAAAATGAAAAAAATACACTAACTAGAATGGGCAAAGAACATTTGTTTATAATATGAGAGCTAAAACAAAGAGTATTACTTTGTTCAACCTCAGCTGGAAACATGCATGTTGAGTGACTCAGATTTTTTTGGCTGCTTTGCACATGTCCATGAATGACTGGAAAAGTTCCACAGGTATTGATTTTGTTATTACAAATAAGTTTTAGGCAAATTTACAAATAAGGAATACATGAATAGTGAGGATCAATAGTATGTTTTATATTTATTGGTGAAGGTACATATCACTAATGAACTATACTAGTGTACATACTCACACTAGTGAAATTAAGTTCATTGACATATCAAACAATTTAATGTAAAAGTTAAATCAATAGAAAACAATGAATTTTAAGACAGATACAGTTTATTCACTAAATATATAATTCTTCTTTCTAGGGTCTTCTCGAATCATGTAACCAGATGTGTGCTGAGTATTTGTTCCATCCTGATAAACATTATGATGTAGGCTATGACACTGGAGACAAGACAATTCAATGTGGCAGACATGCTGATATCTTCAAACTCTGGTTAATGTGGAAAGCAAAGGTAGAATTTCACCATCCACATTGCTTGGACTTTGAGTTATTTGGGGAAAAAGCTTATGTCAGCTTATAACTTCTTGGATACCATACTCACTTATAAGCTCCCAGAATACGTACATACACACATACATACATACATATACACATATGTGTACACATATATGTATATGTATATGTGTGTGTGTGTATATATGTGTGTATATATATGTGTGTATATATATATATATATATATATATATATATATATATTTTTTTTTTAAGGATCTCCATGGATCAACACCTACACAAACCAATGTTCATGAGCTAGCAGTAATGATTTTATTTTTATCAGCCAGCCTAAAGAAATATTCATTTAAACAAGTGATGCTCCATTAAATAATATAGCAAATAAATGATAACTAAAGATTTTTCCATGTATATATTGAATATATTCTACCATTAGTTACTGTTACCAGTAAAGAAGAGCATATAATCAGATGAGAAATATATCTAAAGAACATGCATGTAAGGGATACACACATCTAAGGAATATGCCAAGAACCCATAAGGCCAGAGAACATATTTGGAGAGCACACAGGATGGGAGGTATGGAAAGAGCACATGCATGGCCAAGGCAGCTCATAACTCTGATGTTGCAGGGCAGTAAATGTCCCCTGGTAATTCCACCACACTATTCTCCACTAATATATGCTGAGGACATTGTCTTTGCTGGGCATGTCATTTCTGTGATGGATTGTGCATAGTGGTGTCACATTATCTCTGTTGAACATCTTTTTTTCCCACCTACTTACTATCTGACATCAAGCATTTTAGTTTCAAGGCCCTTTTAATGCCTTTTATCACTCTTATCTACTAAGTTGTGGTAAAGAGAAAAACCCTTTCTTAACAAGAGTAGACTGAATTTTTTTTTTCTTGTTTAGCCACTCGGGTGATGGGATGACACATCTATTAGTTAGTTCAAAAAAGTGAGCCACAATGCTACAGGCTTATAGAAAGTCTATTCTTTTTGGCTACCCATGTCTTATGCTAAACAAAAATTTCCAGTCTGATACAATTGTCTGATTTAAGGTTTCAAATTAATTAGAACTCAACACTCCTATCATTTTCCACTCAGTTGCTATGTGACTCACTCCTCACCTCTTACTGACTCCCCTATAAACTCATTATCATTTCCAGGATGAGGTATAAAGTCTTCTGTTTGTCATTTAAATCTTTTCATACCCTGGCCCCTCCCTACCTTTCTAGCCCTTCTATACTTTGCTTCACTTCACTAAACAATACAGCTATACTGACCAGCTGGGAATGCCTAGCACACAACACTGTGTATCTAGATTCTGTACCTATGCACGGGTCATATCTGTTACCTGCAATGTGCTTTCTCCTCACCTCTTCATTCTGACTTCCTTGAAGATTCAGCTCAAATCCCACTTTGTGTTAGAGGCTTCTTCTGATCCTTTTGGGTGGTAGATCCCTTTTTATAAAATTACCTTTCATCTGTTCTAGATCTATATTTTATTTACAACAATTTCTCTGCCATTAAAATGTATAAATGGGTTTTTAATTTTCTTTTTGCCTTTCTTTGTATCCCCCCATTCAGCATAGTGTCTGGCACATAGTAAATATTTAATAAATGCTTGTTGATTAACCTAATGTTATTTAATCATTTATGGTTGTCCTGTGTGCCAAACTCTATGTGTCTGCTGTGGGGAAAAAAGAGCTATATAGAAGTTAAGGCTATGAAAGCACACAACTACCAAACTATTATTTCAATAAAGCTCCAGACACCAGGTCTTATTTCACTAGTTTAGTAGATATGTGAGAAGGGGATGTATGAGAGATATAGTGAATATACAAATGACAAGATTTGACAACAAACTGGATATGTAGAGTAAGTGAGAATGAGGAGTCAAGGATGAAGCTAAGACTGAGAATCTAGGTGAGTGGAAGAATGATGGTGTCCTTGCTGGTCATAAAACAACTTGGAAGGGAAGTGGATTTGGGGAAAAGAAAATGAATTCTGTTTTAGTTTGAGATGCGTTCTGGATATCCAGTTTAAGATGTCCAAGTGCCATTGGTTGACTGAGGGTGTACCTCAGAAGTTATTATCTGTAAGAGGACTTAGGGGTTAAAACTGATTAGAGTTTGAAACTGCACTAATTCTTGGAGCCACAGGTGAGAACTGTGTGACAGGTGGATGCCAGAGGTAGATGAGCAGCCCTGAAAACAGCTTGATAAGCCAATACACCAGAGGTTCTAGTCCTTCTGAACATCTCATAAACTGACACATTATAAACACTATATAAATGCTTATTCTTTCTCCTCATCTCCTTATAGGCATAAAATAAAATACATATGTTTTCCAAAGGGAAGCAATTATGTTGAAGTAAAGTTGTCAAACTATTTAAAAAATAGTTTAACAGATCCTTGCAGGGAAAACATAAGATGGCCCAAGATAGAGTCTTGAGGAATACCAAGGCTTAGTGGCCATAGCTGAGATGAAGTGAAGGAGATTAAGAAAGAGTTTCAGACAGATATGAGAATCAGGAGAAAGTAGTGTTTTAAAAACTTAGAGATTACCGAAGAGGAGATCTACAGTATCAAAGGCTGTAGCAGTTTCAAGAAGGATGAACATTGAGAAAAGGCTGTTGTATTTGTCAATTAAAAGATGACTTGCCACTTTGGAGAGGGCAATTTCAGTTGAATGATCAAGTTGAAAGCTAGACCATCAGAAATTCAGAATGATATTACAGGAAGTGGAAGTAATTAGTATAGACTACTTTCTTAAGGAATGTATTTGAAAAGAGAGGAAAAACAGGATGGTAGGTAGGGTGGGATGGTCAGATCAAGTGAAGGATTTTTTTTTGTTTTCTTTGTTTTTGTTTTTTTTTGTTGTTTAGGAAAGGAAGACATGGGCTTGTTTGTAGACAGAAAGGAAGCTGCTAGTAGGTGGGAAAAATTTGAAGTTTAGAGAAAAATGAGGGTAAACTTCTGTAGAAGATGAGAGGGGGAGAGATTGCATGTGAATGCTGAAAGGTTTACCTTCCCAGAAAGAACTGCCACACCATCATCAGAGATAGGAACAATAGGCACAATAATATGGAAGATGTCTAACTAATGTGAAGAAGATGGGAGAAGAAGAAGGTGGCCTTTTTTTGAAGAATTCAACTTTTTAAGGTAAAACATGAAATGAAGTGAATTCCTCAGTTGAGAAGGTTGGGAGAGGCGGTAGAGTGGGGAGCTTGAAAAGAGAACTAAAAATAACTCTATTACTATGTAGAACACAGTGACCTTAGTTTAGATTTTCCGGACCTGAAAGAACTTGAGGCAAGAGACTGAATAGTTTGGAAAAATGTTCTCCAACTAAGCATTTCACAACTGACCTTCAGAAACCTCAGAAACAACAAATGCATCAGAATTTCTCATTACCAAAATTTCACACCTAAGCAAAGCAATTTAATGTTACAAAATGAATAACTCAATTAGGAAAGGAAATGTAGAATTTTCATCTATAGTCTTTGTTTTTTCTACTGACGGCTATTTGACTATTTGTTTGTCTTTGGATTGTACTCACTTTTATGTAGTTATAGGATCATAGCATTATACCTGAAGTGACTTAGAAGGTCTTCTTGTCTCACCCCCTTATATCAATTGAGAAAACAAAGGTTAAAAGACTTAAATGGGCTTTTTTTCTTTTAAATGTGTGTGGGTCTTCCTTTGGCACACATACAAGCAGTCTCTATTTTGTGAACTATTTGTGTTTCAAGAATTTCGACTTATCATGTAGGCAAATCATAGTTCTATAGAACTATCAAAATTAACCACCATGTATAACAGATGAGATTTTAGGAATAACAATAAACTGAGTCAGTATTCATTACACGGCACCTCTGGCTTTGAAGTTCAGATAAACACATTTATGGAGCTGGCAGATTATCTTTACAAGATTCTGAAGAAAAAAGAAAATTTTGAGCTTGTATTTGATGGGGAAGTAAGTTTCTAAGTGGTTTTCCCTTTCCTTTCCTTTCCTTTCCTTTCCTTTCCTTTCCTTTCCTTTCCTTTCCTTTCCTTTCCTTTCCTTTCCTTTCCTTTCCTTTCCTTTCCTTTCCTTTCCTTTCCTTTCCTTTCCTTTCCTTTCCTTTCCTTTCCTTTCCTTTCCTTTCCTTTCCTTTCCTTTCCTTTCCTTTCCTTTCCTTTCCTTTCCTTTCTTTCCTTTCCTTTCCTTTCCCTTTCATCTTCCATTCTATCCTATCTGAATAGGATATCCTCTCTTCTCTGTTTTCTCTGTCTCTCTGTCTCTGTCTCCATCCCCTTTCTCTCTCTCTCTCTCTCTCTCTCTCTCTCTCTCTCTCTCTCTCTCTCTTTCTTTCTTTCTCTCTGTCTCTGTCTCTGTCTCTTTCTGTCTCTCTGTCTCTATCTCTCTGTCTCTGCCTCTGTCTCTCTGTGTCTGTCTCTGTGTCTGTCTCTGTGTCTGTCTCTGTCTCTGTCTCTGTCTCTGTCTCTCTCTCTCTCTCTCTCTCTCTCTCTCTCTCTCTCTCTCTCTCAGAGAGCAGCTGTGATGATCCTATAAAGGCAATGAAAAAAATGTTTTGTTTTCTCCTAGTCTACCCCATTTCTTCTCTATGTAATTAAAGTAGATGCTTCCTTTATTATATGGATTTTTGGTTTATCTAAGTTCATTTAAATGCAAAAATTACTGAATTTGAAGTAATTTTTCTTAATGAGCTAAATTTCAAAAAATATGTAAACTAAAAACTGTATTTAATCTCTTCGTATTCCACTACAATTACTCATCCTATGAAAATTGCTGTACTGATTTTTCCGACATGAAATCCAGAGTAATCTAATGTTTCCTTTTTCCCTTAGGTTATATAAAATGTTATTTTTTCTGGATAGCACAAAAAATGGACATTGTGGGTAGTAATTGAAGTCACATAATATTTCTGTAACAGCAATGAATAAATTAAAAACATTGTTTTGTGGAGTTATACTAATTGTTCTTCACAGTCCATTCTCCCTTCCTTTTTTGGTTGATTGTGAATGCTATTCATGAAAGAATTAAAGTAAAAATGAATGGTAGACATACTGGAAATGGTTGCATTTTTAAAACTAAAATTATTGGATATCACTGGCTACCCATTTGATGACTCTAGTTTTCCCTTGTTCACCACCAATTTTTAAAGGGAAACTTAAAATGAAAATTTTTATAGACTAAATAAGTTAATTTGTATAAAACATTTTCAATCAATAAAGTACTATATTAATGTAAGCTATTATTCATAGAAATTGGAAGAATTCTCTTGGCCTTTTCTAAAAACAAGTAAATCAACTTTAAAACAATTAAGGTGTCTAAAAATCTAGAAGACTTTAACAAATTTTTATTTTACTATTTATATTATACCCTTGTTGTCAAGCCTGAACTCACTAATATTTGCTTCTGGTATATCCCACCAAGACTTATAAGTATCTCAAATGAATATGAGAAGCAGCAAGAACTTCAAAAGGTCAGGTGTTTTTTTGATGCTGTATTTTAGATTATATGCCTAGTTTGCTCCTGTGTTTAGAAGATAGTGTTAATGAGATCTAAGTCCTATAAACTCAATATATGGAGGGGACCTACTGAATTCCAGAATAGATTCAATCATCCTTCACACAAGGTCCTTATGGCCTCGTGGACTGGGCGATGTAGTATAGGTAAGTGAGTAGATTTCCATCTCTTCTATAGAAAGAAAACTATAATTAATATTATAGTGAAGGCGTTATCCTCCATATAGAAATGATAGCATGATACTTGGGTATGTATTAAAATTTCATCTTTTACTTTTGGTGAATTGTAATTAGCAAATTTTGTTTATTAGGTGACCACATCAATTTTGGATTCATTGTGTAATGGAGAGTAAAGGTATATTGCATTGATGTTTAAGAGTGCCAGGAATTACATTGAAGCATAGATATTTCTACTGTTAGAAATTAGAAAAGATATTTCTTGATTGTTTTTGACTACCTGTAATATTATTTCACAGTAAACTTGAGGTTTGAGACAAGTTCCAGTGAGACTTTGTGATTTTTCTAGGAAGTTGAACATTTCTGTCTATTGCCGTTAAGTGAGGAGCTCTTATTTGTAATGTTGGTTTATTCTGGGTTTTCAAGCATGTATGAATAAATGGATTCGTATTATGATGTGTGATTATTAACACTGAATAGTAATGTCCTGTCAACATTGACAATTTTACCGAGCACTATGCCAAATACTGGGGATACAATAAAAATAAAAAAAATAGATTAAATTCCATAAATTAAAATAAAATTTTAAAAAAAGCTTTTGTAAGAAGAAGAGAAGAAATGAACAAAAAATTTGCCAATATCGAGATCCAAAAGAAGCCTAAAAAGGTCAAAAGGGGAAATAATATATAATGGATTCAATGGAGCTGAACTGTTTACATCCTTACATGGAAGATGATACTTTTAATTCTTAAAAACTGCAATAATAGTACAGCTAGAAGGAAAACACATGCATGCACACACACACACACACACACACAGGAGGAATAGATATAAGGTGAATTTGAAGGAATAACAAAATGAGTAAAGGATGAGAAAAAGGAGTATGCTGGGTGCAGAAGGAAGGGAGTCGTAAAATGGAATAAATTATTCCACATGAAGAGATGCAAAAAATCTATTACATTGGATGGAAAGATGGGAGGGTGGGCATTTGGCATTGCTAGAACCTTACTCTCTTCAGTATTGGCCCAAAGAGGGAATAACATAAAAAATCAGTTGAATATGAAAATCTATCTTACCTGACAGGGAAGCAGTATTGGAAGAAATTAAGAAAAAAGGAGGGGGCATTTACTAGTTGTATAACTAGTTAAGTGTGCAACTCACTTAACCCCATTGCTTAAAAAAAAAAAGAAAAAGAAAGAAAAAAGGGAGGGAGAATTGACAGGAGAGAGGGCAGATGAGGGAAGGTGGTGGATAGAAGCAAAACACTGGTGAGGAGGGAAAGGGTGAAAGGAGAGAGAAGACAAGCAAAAGGAAAAATAGGATGGAGGGGGAAACGCAGTAATCATAACTGTGAATGTGAATGGGATGAACTCTTCCATAAAACAGAGTAATCTTTCAATGCACTGAAAGACTTTCTTCTTTTGTGTGTGGGGGGGGTTATCTTAGAAGTAATAATGTACTATTCTGCTTGCACATTTATTGTCTCTCATTCTTAATATTGTGCTATCTTCTTTTCTTGTTGTTCATATCCTTGACAATGTCTGTCTTGCCACTTCTTGTGATAAAGGGAAAATCATTGATGTCAATTTGTAACATACCTACTACTTAATTTTTTCTTCTTTACTTAGTTAAAATTATAATTCTTTTAAGAACTTAGATTAAAACCTGGAAGAAATCTCAGAGGCCATCTGGTCCATCAAGCTTATTTTACAATTGAGGAAACTGAGGTTCCTGGACTTTAAATGCCTTGACATAAGTTACATGAGTAGTCCATATTAGTGGCAGGTTTTGACCCCTGGTCCTCTGACTCCAATTCCACTGTACCATGCTGCCTTCTGTTTTGTAACCATGTTATATCATGGAGGATTTGAGTGAAAAGTGAATATTAGCTTTAAAGAAAACTACATGGTTAATTTATCTATTTATTATCTAGAATAGCCCTTGAAACAAGGTATGTGTGGCAAATCAAATGACTAGCTGCACTGAAATGTCTCAGGAGTAAGAAAATGCACAGAAATAGTAGTAATGAAGGATCGCTTTATGTCAGTTGAAGAATTCCTTGCTCTCAATTTCCCCTATGACAGTGACACTTCTTGCCCCAGTGTTATCTGCCTGGTTCTCTAACTTAAACCTACATAATGCTGTTCTAAGAAACTACCCAAAGGAAATCTTGGTCCACTTTTGATTGACCCAAATAGACAAAATGTTTTACTATTTGAAAAAGTAACTTGTTAAATAAATCTGTTCATATTGCATGTTGCCATGTCGCAACAAAATAAGCACTAAAATCTAGTATTATTGTCTCTGCTAGAAATTCTAATATGCCATACAATATTTTATTTTAACCATTTTCCAGGTGTTTTAGTTATTTTATTTGCCAAATACATAAAATCTTTTACAGCCTAAGTGTGACACATTTTATTTTGATGTATCCTACCTGTTTGAAATCTTCCTGTGGAATTTCACAATGGTGGATTATGGACATAAAGATGCAAACTATGAGCTCAGATCATAGCTTTCTTCCTCACTCTGTTGAGTTAAATACTTCCTTTAAAATGTGCTTGATAGCTTGCAGTTTCCGTAGTTTTCCTAAAACTAAATGCAGTATCTTAAACATCTAGAATAAAAGAAAATAAAGTGTTCAACTGCAAAAAAAATAGTAATTATTTTTTTTCTATTTGCATGTCTAACACAGATTGCACCCAAGATCAAAGCACTGATGATGGAAGAAGGCAAAACCATGGTCAGCTACCAGCCATATGGAGATAAAGTCAATTTTTTTTCGAATGGTCTTCTCCAACCCTGCTACCAAACAATCAGATGTTGATTTTCTTATTGATGAAATTGAAAGTCTTGGGAAGGCTTTATGATGCTGTATTTACACTTGTCAAAATGACCCCTTTTATGAATGAGTATGTGTTATGGGAAGTATTTCTTTCAAGCCTTTCTCCTTTCTCAACTAATTTTTGTTTTGTTTTCTTTGCCATGTCTGGATGATTTAATGAAAGGAAAATCTAACCAGTAGGAAAATTGTCACCAGCACTAGATAAGATGGAGATCCAGTTCTATTCTATGTATCCATATTCTTGTAATTGTTAAAGATATTTTTCCTCTATATTAGTGCCCATTCTTAATTTGTTCTGTCAACAGCAAGATTCATGAATTATTTCTCTTCCCTCCTATGATTTATGAAATATTCCATATTTTTAAGAAGAGTACAAGAACTGGAAGAGGGAAAACTGACACATTTTATTAATTAGCTAATATTTACATAGCAACTAAAGGTTTGCAAAGTACTTTACAAATATTATCTCATCTTATCATCTCAACAGCCTGGTGAAGCAAGTGTTATTCCTAATCCCATTTTACAGATAAGGGAATTTAGCTTAAGGGAGGGTAAGAACATTACCAGAGGCGGGCAGCTAGCAAGTTTCTGAGGCAGGATTTGAAGTCATGTCTTCCTGACTCCAAGTCCAATGCCCTCTCCTCTGAATCCACTAGTTGCCTATTTTCCTATTTCTCATTCTTTTTATTATTTTATCATCACCATTCTGTATGACCATGTATACACCGTATGCCTACATGCAATTTTAAATTCCTCATCATTATTTCATTACTCTTCCACCTCTTCTTTCCCCTTTCTCACTGCAATATTACATACCATGGAATGCTATGAAGAATTATATTTTTAAGATTGTTTAGTAATTCAAAAGTTAATTACTGTCCTTACAAAAATATAATTTTAAAAACATGACAAATAATTTAGATGTAACATTTTAATGCTTAATAATATGAGCTGTTCATGAATTACTTTTGTCATTTTGCTTTAGGTCCATTTTGATTAATATTATTTCATTTGTATTAAGTAATTGATATGGGGGATAAATTGATATAAATGTTATTAGAAAGCCCAAAAGAATAAAAATGAATTTTAATAAGAATTCTTGAATATTGAGTTATATGACATTGTTCTATATCACCACATAACAAAAAGTTTCATTGAATGAAATAACACTAAGTTTTAAAATATCTTGCTAACCATGCTATATAAGAAATACATTACTTAAACTCATTAAACATTAGATCAACTCATTAAATTATGAGCTCCTGGAGGACAGGAACTATTTTTGCCCTTTTTTTTTGTTTCCCTAACACTTAGCCTGGCACATAATATGTGCTAATAAATGTTTACTGACTATTATTATTGACTATATAGAGTTTGAACTGAGGATAGTTGTATATTTTGTGGCTTTCTATGCCTCCATAACAGATAAAACAAAGAAAATGTATAGCCACTTTTGTTTTCTCAGACAACTGGATCAATTATTTGTCATATGCTTCTATTTTCCATAATTCCACAAAATAATTAACAGTTCCATAATTCCATAAAATTCCAGGCTATACCAAATTGGAATGAATATTTTTCATCCTGAAAGAAAGGTGTTTATTTAGGATCATTGTTCTAATCATCCATTTAAATGCTAATATTTGGTTCAACCAATCCTTTTTAAATAAAATTGCTCTTTATGCTCTAATATACTTATTTCCCCTACTTTCAGTGATTAAAACTTGACATGTGCACAATCATTTTGTTCTTAGGATGCTGAAATCATTTTTGTTTTTATTAGATCCTTCTCATATCTCCAAAATCCACAGTAGGAGAATCGTTAATTTAAAGGTAAATCATTTGGCACCTCAAATTCTGAATGGACTCACAAGAAACCAATGTATTTTTGTCAGTCAAAAGTTAAGAAACAGGAAGAAATAAACTAATAGAAGAGAAATGTTGACCTGATTGTTATAGCTTAGATGTGGAAAAGTACTCTCTAGCCATACTTACCTTTGAGATTTTCTCAGAGTACAGTTGGAAACCGAAAGAGCAGAACTTAGCATTTCTGGTATACTCTATTACAGTACTCCAATGTGCTTGAAGCCTCATCTAAGGCAAGCAGTGAAAAAGTTGGCAAGGAAAGAGAATCTTTGAGTTAGTTTTGGCATCCCCATGAATTCAGTTCTTTTCCTTGTAATGCCTATTTCACTGAATCTAACAATTATGAGTAAACTAGTCCATTTCCCTCCCAAAATGGACATCATCTCCACAGCATCTCTGCCTGAGATCTACTAGTGGGTGTGGCAAAGATCATCTAGGAAGAACAAGGCATATGGAGATGGGAGGATTAAGTTATAATCAAAGAGAAGAATTTCAAAATAAAAGATTGTGGAGGTAGGATAGATGTGGATTATACAGATTTCTAAAGTGTGGTTATTCTAGTGGGCAAAGAAAAGGAGAAACAACATAACGTGGGTGACCAGGGTGTTGAAGGGCACATTCATGTGCATTTTAAGGGAAGAGAAAGGAAGGAGAAGTAAGTATTTATTAAGCACCTTCTATATTGCAGACACTCTGTAAAGGACTTTTCGAATATTATCTCATTTAGTCATCAATAAACTTGGGAGGTATATGCTGTTCTTATCACCATTTTACAGTTTGGTAAGTTGAACCAGAAAGAAGGTAAGTGACTTGCCCAGGGTCACACAACTATTAAGTCTCTGAGGCCTGGTTTCAGGGTGTCCTGAGTCTAGGATCAGCCCTCTAGCTCCTGCACCATCTAGATGCATTGAATGAAATGGAAATCTTTAAGTGGATTAAAAGGGATTGTTTTTGAAAATTACATTTTGAGCCAGAGAAAGAAGTCTTGCAAAACAGAGTGAATGATCTTGGGACAAGTAGATTACAGTAACAAGGATATGAATTGGATGAAATAGGCACATGGAGTGAATTTCAAAGTGATAGTGAAGAAGGATGGCCAGGAAAGAGGCAGTGAGGTGTTAGAAGTATGCCTGCTTCTTTTCCTGGCCCACTGTTTCAGGAGGGATGAGAAATGGAGTACCCAATACTGTAGATGGTAGCTAAGCATACATTTTCTTCTAGAGATAATCAGGAATCCATAAGCATCAGACAATGGCCAGAGTGTAGAATGCCTATTTGAAGTCAGTTACTATGTTATACCTAATTTCACTCTTTTCTAGGCTAACTACCTTCAGTTTTTTGATATGTCCCCCCCATATGACATCATTTCCAGACCTACACCTCCATGATTGCCCTTCTCTGGTGGGTCTCAACTTTGCCAATTGCCTCTCTCGTAATCTACCGCCTAAAACCAAATATAATAATTCAGATATAGTCTGACTTAGATGCCCTTTCTATTTACATAATCTAAGACTGCACAAACATTTCACAAAATGACTTTGCTCTATTCACTGATATTAATCTTTTAAAACTTCATTATCATATGAGCAGTGGTCAAATGAGTTTCTCCACCACAAGCTTATGTTGAGAGGTGGCATGGTACAGTAGAGAGCTGACTTAACAGTTAGGAAGACATGTGTTCAGGTCCTGCCTCTAACACCTTCCAACGGTGTGATTGTAAGCAAGTCATTTAACCTCTTAGTGACCAGGCCAATCTTTAAGGCTGCAAGTCACAGTTAAATCAACTCAGATACCACATCACACATATTAGCTTGGCTGACATGACAAAACAAGAAAATGATACATGTTGGAGAAGATGTGGGAAAATTGGAACACTAATGCATTGTTGGTGGAGTTGTGAACTGATCTAACCATTCTGGACAGCAATGTGGAAATATGGCAAAAGGGCTACAAAACTGTGCATACCTTTTGATCCAGCAATAACACTTCTAGGTCTGTACCCTAAAGAGATCATGAAAATGGGAAAAGGACCCACGTGTACAAAAAAAAACCACTTATGGCATCTTTTTTTGTTGTTTTTGTGGCCAAGAGTTGGAAATAGAGATGATGCCCATCAATTGGGGAATGGCTGAACAAGTTGCGGTATGTGAATGTAATGGGATACTATTGTTCCATAAGAAATGATGAACAGGTGGACTTCAGAAAAACCTGGAAAGATTTACATGAACTGATGCTGAGTGGAGTGAGCAGAACCAGGATAATATAGTACACAGTAACAGCTACATTGTGCAATGACCAGTTTTGATAGACTTAACTCTTCTTAGCAATACAAGGATCTAAGACAATTCCGAAAGACTCATGAGAGAAAATGGTATCCATATCCAGTGAAAGAACTATGGAGTGTGAATGCACATTGAAGCATACTATTTTTCCTTTTTTGGGGGGTGAGAGGGTTTGTTTCTTGTGGTTTTTCCCTTTTCTTCTAATTCTTCTTTACAAAGTGGCTAATGTAAATGAATTTAATGTGATTGTACATATATGGCTTATATCATATTGCATGCCATCTTGGGGAGGAGGGAGGAAAAGAAAATTTGAAACTCAAAATCTTATAAAAGTGAATGCTGAAAACTAAAAATAAATATATAAATAAATATAAAAAAATAAAAGAATGTTGAAAACTAAAAACAAATAAATAAAATTTTAAAAAGAAAGACTATAAGTTTCAGAAAATGTACTTGCATTTTTTGGTAATGGGAGTTTGCTCACCATGGAATTTCCTATAGGGGGGAAAAGTATGTGTGTGCACATATACTTTGTGTTTGTGTATATTTGTTGTAATAAGGGAAGCCCTACCCCTTAAAGATACAGAAATTTTTTCCTTCCTTGGTATGCTGCCAGCCCATGTACAAGAGGTTAGAGAGTCTGCTTTCAGAAAGACATGCTGGCATGGAATGGAGGGTCCTGATCTCAGATACAGGGCATTCATTTGCAGATATTCTTACTGTTTTTGGTCAGCCTTCCTTATGGTGAAGCAGGGCTTCTTTGACTACTAGGAAAACAACAACAACATACCAAGAACAACAGAGAAAAAGGTAAGAGATACCTTGTAAAGAGCTTCAAATAGCAAGTTAAGGTATTTCTTTTTGTCTTATAGGCAAT